AAGGGAGTCAAGGGACACTTGGGAGGCTGAATCTAAAAGACGCAGCAGCCCCACATGCAGGACAGGGAGAGCCCAGGGCCTCCTGGGCATTCCTGCTTGACCTGTCATTCACAGCCCCAGGAAATACAGCAGGAGGAGCTGGCTGGGCTGTAATGGAGAGGGAGCGTTCCAGAGGGTCGGCAGGAAAACGCCAGTCTCCACCCGGTACTGGAACTAAGGAGATGCCACCAGTCAAGACTTTTTTCTTGTTAATGGAGAGATCGATCGGGCCTGCAGGACACCAGTGGGCAATGAAAACAGCCCCCGGCTGGGTGAGCAGGTGAGGGCGCAGGGGTTGCAGGACTCTGCTGGCTGTCTCCACAGAGCACGCAGAACTGAATGGCATGGGGTTGGGAGAACCCACAGCGGGGTGACTGCTGGGTGGTCTCTCCTCTCCCAGCTTCTTCCCTCACACCCCCATTCCATCTTGCCTGGGCCTGGGCCTTGCTGCCTTGGCCCACCTGGACCACCTTTCCTCACTGTCACTGAGACTGACGTGGCCATCGCAGGACTCCATGGCTCACAGCAGGCAGGACCGGGCCCCTCCGGTGGCCTCCATCACATACCAGCTGGAGGCCCAGCTGCCAGCACCTGCGCCAGAGCAGAGGCAGCGATTCCTCATGCCCGCCTTCCCCCTGAGCCGCGGGAGAGGTCCTGGGGTCCTACTGAGGTCTGCTCCCGGCACTGAAAACGTGGTCAGCCTGCAGGCTGCTGTGTGCCCTGTCATCCAGGGTGCTGGTAGAGTGTTTGTGGTTGGTTTTCTACTAGATTGATGCAGATTTAATTAAGTGCCTGAACTGTTTATAAAAACAAATTAGCTGCCTAGCGACATGTCACACAGCACAGGGAACCCCGGGCGCAGGAGCAGGGCCACCATGTCAGTGTCATTATGCAGAGGAAATGGCCACCTTGTTTGTCAATGGCCGTTTTAAATGGAAAGTCTACCCAGTAGCTGGGACAGCTCCCCAACCCTCTTTGCCAAGAGGACGAAGACCTCACAAAGCAGGGGCCCACAGAGAAAGGGGACACGCCCCAGAACAGAAGCTTCATCCCCTCTGGTCTTGTCTTCCATGCTCCATATGAACAGGAACACACCCTACTCTCCTCCTTCCTCTTCTCGTTGTTTCCCTTCCACTCCCAGGATAACCAATCTGGGCCTTGTGCAAAGCCCAGACAGAGTTTCAATTTCATTTTCCCAGTGTCATCCAAAGTCATGCAACAGAGCCTCAGGCAGGAGATGGGAGATTGAGAGAAGCAAGGTCGTGACACCCAGACAGGGAGAAGTGAAAGAGTCCACCGTGGGGATGCCAAGAGCATTCAAGTCCAAGTGCTTCACTGTCATCCACGTGTTTTAATATATGTTGCTTTACCTCCTTTCCAAATTTTTGTGCAGCTTGAAAGAAATCAGGCTATGTGCAAATAAGCTACTTACTGCCAAGGAGAGAAGCCAAGTCAATCCCATCTTGCTTTCTGCATGCTGCYAGTGCTTACGGCAGAAGCAGCCTCACTGCATGGGGTCTTCCAACACTTAGTACCCAGGGCTGTGACGGGGTGGGGGTGGGGGGACAGAAAAGGCAGCAAGTAATCCCAGCCACACTGCAGACCCTCACACATGTCACCAACCACATATCAGGACGGGAATCGTCATTCCTGCTTTATCCAGAAGCCAAGTGCTCGAGGACAGAGAGCAGGACAGAAGCTGGCTGTCTCCTTACCCCTCACAGGACCCTGAGCAGCCCTCACCCAGAGGGGCYGAGATGGCCACTAAATATTCCACAGTTCGCAGCCATGCAAATCACACCACAACTGGAAAAGCACACAAAATCTAAACTAAACATAAAAAAAGAAGCTCTTGTTACATTTTTCACAGTTCATGAAGGTCTTTTTAACTATCTCAAGCTGAACAAGAGAATTATTTCTCAGTCACTTTATGCAGAAATTAGTCAATCCTACCCACAGAACCCATCAGTCAATTCAGGCCAGCACGGGCTGGCCCCTGGGTATGTCTGTAATTGCCAGGTACAGAGAGGAACTTCCCAAGCCCGACACACAAAGGCCCCAGGCACTGCCACAGTCAGAGACCAGCCAAGTGTCCTGGCAAACACGAAGGACAGGCATCTTGCACAGGAGAGCCATCTGGGCTGGCCACGAGCTCAGTGGTGGGGCGCTTGCCTAGCCTGTGCCTGGCCCTGGGTTCCACCTGAAGCAGCATTTAAAGAGCCCAATGGTGACCACAGCATCCCTTTCACTCCACCCTGGGATGGCCAAATTTTTTCCCCCATCTTCTCGGGTGAAAGGAAACGGGAAGGRACCTGGTATCCTCTCTGCTTGTCACATGCACAGTTCTGTGAAGAGAAGGCAGAAACCCGTGGCTGACATTGGTTCCAGGTCACCACTCGGGCCCTGAGCAGGGAGTGGCAGGCTGCCCACGGAGGCAAGGGACGTTGGGCTGGGTAACAAGCACACCATGAGGGGGAGCAGCCACAGGGAGAGGTCTCTTCAAGGCGAAGCTCAGAGGCTCTGGATCCCCTCTGCTGGCCCCTGCGGTGGTCACTTCTGTCAACACATCAAATGTTCACTACAGCAGACTTTTGTTGTAGTGTATGGTGGCAGAGACTAAGGACAGAGGAGCTAACACGGGGCTGGCCAGTTCCTTTCCTCCTGGGGAATTCTGAACAGGCAGGGCCAGGACTGGGTGCCACCCGGACCACAGGGTCAGAGGAGCCGACACCCAGTCTTGCTCTTCCCCCTCACATCATTGGCTCATTTTGGAAATGAAGTGGTGGACTTGGTCTCTGGTGGGCATGGGACATGGGCAGGTGAGGGACACTGGGGGAGAACCAGTGAGGAACAGCTAGGACAGTGGCCACATGGACATTCGCTGCCACGCTCTCCTTTTCTCCCTCCCAGCCAGTGTCTCGGGGCTGAAAGAGGCACCCTCACATCTGGGCTGTGGTCCCTTTTGTGGGAGGCCGGGCTGTCACACCTGCCCCTCAGCTAGCCACAGGCCTTGGGCACACACGAGGGTGACAGAACAGATGGAGCCTCAAAGAAAGAGCCTAAGCAGACACCAAAACACCAGCCTTGCTCACCCAGGCCTCCCAGCCTCCAGCCTCCAGCCTCCCAGCCTCCAGCCTCCCAGGCTGAGGCAGTATTAGAAAGGCCTGTGAACTTTCTTCCCTGAGGAAGAGACAGAGGTGGAACCCTGGGAGGGTCCCCAAAGGGCCTGGCGGGGGTCTGCCAGCATTTGGCGAGGACGTGGAACTTTCTAGTCTGCCAGTTGCGCCTTCTCATGGAACACAAAGTCATCTTTATGAGTGAAAGAGAAGAGCAACAGAGACCCAGGGATATGGATTGCCCTCCAGCACCTCCTGGAAAACCCCAAGACACCAGCAGCCCTTCCCAGCACAGAGCAGGGCAGGCTGGCTGCTCTCACGGCTGCCGTGGAGGAGAGGCTGGTCCACACTGGGTAGGACCACTCCCAGCAGTTCCTGCTGGTCATTAGCCACTGCGCAGGGCCAGGAGAAGGGACGTCACACCTGCACTGCACTTCAACAGACCTCACTGCAAAGCACACCCCTCCCCAATGGGTGCAAACCTTCCCGATGACCCAGCCATCCCTCTGTGGGAACACCTGGTCACCTGCAGTGGGTCAGGCCAAGTGCTAGACCTGCCCGGGTCAGACAAGAGCCAGTGCCGAGATTCAGTGCAGATGTCGGGGAGGCTGGCGGCCACTTGCTCACCTCTGGGGGGCCGTCGGGCCTCAGGGTTCTCCTTCCTCTCCGCTTCTTCCCTACCCTCCCAACCTCCAGCAGAAGAAAGCTCCCCCTCCTGGGCCCCTTGCCTCTCTGTATTTGAGGCACATATTGTCCACAGCACTCCCATAACTGTGTGCCCTGCTACTCGCCCTCCTGGACGTTCCCTCCAGGATGAGAACCTGGGGGACACTGGTGTGTCTCTAAACGTGTTGTTTGCTTCCTATGTCACACACACTACCAAGTGTGGCTCGCAGGCCAGCAGCAGGAGCTTCACTGAGGAGCTTATTAAAAGGGGGTATCCAGCCACGCCCAGACTTACTTATCCAGGATCTGCCCCCTAATGAGCTGCCCAGCCAGGCCACTCCTACATGCACTAACACTTGAGAGGCACCGTCCATGCGGTGGATGTGCCAGGCAGGCCTCACATGAGCCAGCTCCAACACTGGACAGCCCCTCTTGCCCCTTCCCTTTCCCTGGTCACCTGAGCTGGCCACCTGGGCACACAGGAGGAGCTCATCTCACTCCTCACACACCATGTGCCAGGAACCCCAAGACTCACCAGGACAGTTAAGATTCTTCCCAGGCTGACCCCACCCTGTCGGCCTGTGCCCAGTCACCCTGCCTGTCTCTGGCCCAACTCCCGCCTTGGTACCTCATTCTGATTGGTTTTTTGGGCCTGACYGACTGCTGTCTTCTAGTCTCATGCTGCAAATTTCCTTCCTCTCCAGGGTATTTTAGGCCATGCAGGTGGAAATGTGAGGCCTTGGACCCCTTCGGTACAGCCTCACATCTCCAATTGACCCCACTCTGCCTCTGGCCCTGGGGGGGACACAGTCAGAGAGCCCCAGACAGCCTCCACTGCTGGCATCACACCTGCAGAGGGCATGTCCAGCTTTCTCCTGTCACCTCCTGCGTTACCACTACCCATGAACACCCTGATGCTCGGTGAGGCACAGGTGTGCCAAACACAGGGGGGCCAGTGGGTCTGGGGATTCTGTGTGCAGGTTCTCCACCAGCTCTGGACAATCATAACACTACACCTGGGCCCGAGGTGCGCAAAGTCTAGAAGACAACCGTGTGCAAAGGCCGACTGTTCCTTWGTAGAGACAACCAAAGACTTGGTCTGACACAGTGTGAGTGCAGGAGGCAGGACTGATGGGGAGGAGGAAAGAGTCAATCACCCATGAACAAATGAAAACTCACCTTTGTCAAAATCATCGTCCTCAATTGCTGCTTCTTGAAGTTTCTGAAGCTTTACTCTTAAGGAGGTCACCTGTGTTGGTTTGGAGGGGGAAAAGGAAAGACAAGTCACAACAGCAAGCTTATTTTGTGAAAACTAAGAATATCAACAAACTCTCAAAGTGAACCTCCTGCCAGGTGCAATGGTGCGCACCTGCAATCCCAGCAACTCCAGAGGCTGAGGCAGGAGGACCACAAATTCTAGGCCAGCCTCAGCAACTTAGTGAGACCCTATCTCAAAATAAAAAATAAAAAGGCTGGGGATGTAGCTCAGTGGTAGAACACCCTGTGTAACATCCCCAGATCCCTAGGGATCTGGTGGCTCAGAGAAGTGGCACGAAGACCCTGGACACAGATGGACATCAGAGAACCATACTGCTTAGGGCCTCTTAAGCCCCAGGTATCCAGAGCCCCCGGTCCTCAGGACATAACCTACAGCCAGATAGAGTCAAAAGGAAGGAGAAGCTGCCTGTCGGTCTCTAGGCCGAAGCTGGCAAATTGCAGAGGAACCCTGGCCAGGGCAGGTCTCCCTAGGTGGGTATCTGAGGGAATGAAGCTGGTCGCATAACCCGCCACCAACAGCTGCCTCCCTCGGCCACACCTGGAACTGAGAAATGCAGGTGGGATGCTAGGTTTGCACAGTCTCTAGCTGGGACCAACCTCTCCCCGGCACCCTATGCTCTGTGTCTGTTCTCAGATTCTCTTCCCTTGCCTGGGACATCAGCTCAAGAAACCTGTCAATTAGGTACCTGTGGCCCATCTAAACRAGATTAATTAATTTGCTTTTAAAGGTCAATCAAAGACTGGGGCTGTGTTCAGTGACAGAGTGTTTGCCTAGCATGCGTGAGGCATACACTCCCTCACACACCTCTGCATGCCCAGGCTCAGTCACCCTGCACACCCACTCCCACACACACCTCCACACGCCCAGGCTCAGGAACTCTGCATACCCACTCCTCACACACCTTTGCACACCCAGGCTCAGAGACTTCCACACCCACTCCTTCACACACCTCTGCACACCCAGGCTCAGAGACTTCCACACCCACTCCCTCACACACCTCTGCACACCCAGGCTCAGGGACTTGCACACCTACTCCCTCAACACCTCTGCACACCCAGGCTCAGGGACTTGCATACCCACTCCCTCGCACACCTCTGCACACCCAGCCTCAGGCACTCTGCACACCCACACCCTCACACACCTCCGTACACCCAGACTCAGGCATTCTACACACCCACTCCCACACACACACCTCTGCATGCCCARGCTCAGGCACTCTGCACACCCACTCCTGCACACACCTCCACACACCCAAGATTAGGCACTCTGCACACCCACTCCATCACACACCTCTGCACACCCAGGCTCAGAGACTTCCATACCCACTCCCTCACACACCTCTGCACACCCAGGCCCAGGGACTTGCATACCCACTCCCTCACATACCTCCACACGCCCAGGCTCAGGCACTCTGCACATCCACTCCCGCACACACCTCCACATGCCCAGGCTCAGAGACTTGCACATCCACTCCCTCACACACCTCCGCACACCCAGGCTCAGGGACTTGCACACCCACTCCCCCAACACCTCTGCACACCCACACTCAGGGACTTGCATACCCACTCTTGCACACACAACACAATGAAACCACATGCAGCCTGGCAGTCCAATCTGGGGTGGCCCTCCTGGCTCCCTGGTACAGAGTTGCCCACCTCTCCTGCTGCTCCCCCTCTCCGATGACAGCACTTCGGTGCTCTCCCAGCTMGTCCTAACTCCAAAGTACCTGCCTTCTCACTTGAGCCTCAGAATGTCCTGCAAGTATCCACCTCTGAATAAGGAAACTGAGAGCCAGAGACATGTAGTGGCCAGAAAGAAACCAAGTGTCCCGTTTCGGGGGCAAGGACAGGAGTCGCTCCCTCTGCAGCAGGATGGAATGGGATGAGTGGGGCARGGGCAGGTGACCATCAATTGGGCTGGTCCATGCAGGGTGACCATTTCTACATCGTATACCCCAAACCGCAGCTGGTTCAATCTCCCCTGCCCCAGTTTCCTGTTCCTAAGCTGAGAAAACTACATGGGGCCCCAGGAGGGCTGTGGAGGAGCTGCAGCCAGAGAGCAAATCTGCACACCTGGGCCACAAAGAAGGGGAGGCAGAGTACGCATTCAAGGAGATGACACAGTGTGGCACTGCTGCTCCCAGGGAAGCCGTTCCAGATGCCACTCCCCGCTCCCTGCCCTCTGCCTGCTGACCTGAGCTCCTGACCACCACAGTGGGGGCCGGCAGAGACACTGACCTCCAGCTGCCTCCGGGTGCTCAGCAGGCTGTCCTGCAGCACGGGCTCCCATCTCCTGAGCAGGGCATCCCAGCCATGGGTGTCCCCTGAACCACTGCCCTCATCACCGCCACCACCAGCCAGCGAGGGATCCAGGGAAGAGGAGCAGCCAGTGTCCATGTCCAGGGAAGAAAGCACACCACACTCCAGCCCGGAGCTCCTCCCCGACACCTGGGCCAGTTCTGCCAAGCCCCGGGCAGCCGTGAGACAGAAGGGCTGAGGGAGACCATGAGGGTCCTCTTGGGGCCCGCCTGGGCTGGTGGCTCTAACTCCCATCTCCTGGGGGCTCTGATGAGTGGTCTCCGCCTCCCTGGAAGGTGGACAGCCTTCTGCTTCCCCACGTTCCCCGGCAGAGCCAAGAGAGAGGCGGATGAAGCTGAAGCTGGAGGTGAAGTTCTCACAGGAGCCGGGCAGGGTATGGGGGGCTGCAGGTCCRCTGCCCAGACTGCAGCTGCTACCATGCCCCTCCACAGGCGCCAGCCCCCTGGAGGCCCCAGCGCCCCTTGCTCCTGCACACAGGGTTGGGTTCTGGCTGGCACCTGGGGCTGCAGAACTGTCCATGGATAAAGACACTTGCTGCCTCCAGGCATCCTCGGGGCCATGCAGCCTGGTGAGTATGGCGGGTAATCCGGTGCCAGCTCTGGGCTGAATCCCAAAGCCTACTGGGCTTCCTCCTGCAGAGGTCTGAGCCAGGCTCCAGTGGCCCACAGAGGCCACAGCAGGGGTTTCGGAGCCGTTAGGGACGCAACTCCCCAGCAGGGGTTCCCGCTCCTGGCTACTCTGGTCAAGGCTGCATTGTCTAGCCCTGGATGCAGAGTGGTGGAGCTCCTTGCTGCTGGCCCCTCCCAGATCCTGGAATGGTGTGCCCACTGCTGGGGAACTGATTCCAGGCCCAGCTGTGCTTCTCATGTAGCCTGGCCTCCGTGCCAACCGCCGCCTCCGAAGCGAAACTGCAGGTGGTGAGCAATCCCGGTTACCTGGAAAGGAAAAGAACAGTATGTGGCCCTGGCTCCCCTGGAAGGGCATTTGGAGAGCATGCCCAGGGCTAGAGGTCACCGATGGGTGCATCTGCCAAAGACACAGGCTGGCCCAGATACCCAGGGACAAGCCAGTATGAAGATGCTGACGATCCTCGGGAAGCGTCTGCCTTGAACACGCAGAGCTCGGCCTGCCTCCCAGGCCCTCTGGCATGGAGCAGCCGACCCCCCAGCAAGCTAGTCCAGCACACCAGTGTGCACACAGCTTGAGCCCCCAGCACTCCCAGGTCTCCCCTGGAAGATCAGCACCTTCATCCTGAGCACAGAGAGCAACAGATCTGAAGATGGACGATAGCACTTCAGAGGGAGATCCAGCCATCTGCTCCAGCCTAGCACTTCAGAGGGAGATCCAGCCATCTGCTCCAGCCACAAGATGAACAACACCCTTCATCTCTGAGCAGTCTGTGTCCCCCAGGCCCCGTCCACAGCCCTGGGCCATGAATGCCCACCGTTTCATCCACACAGGGGCTGCAGGAGGCCTTCCTGTGTCCTCTAGGCCAGGCCCAAGTTCCACGCCCAGTTCTGCTGCGGGAACAGACAGTCACTGACGCTGCACCTCACTGCCTGGCATGGCCCTAACCACACCTGCTGGCTGGGTGACCTTATTTACCCTCTGTGTGCCTTGAGTCCCTTCCAGTAAAGCTAAGTGGGCATGGAAGCACCACCCACAGGGTTGCTGTGAGCACCAGGGCCACGCCATGCAGAGCACCTGGGCCACTGCTGGGCGGGCATGAGCCTGCCAGGCAGTCACCGTCCTCACGTGGTGCTGCTGCTCATGACAAGCATCCTCCATGGGAACTTCATTCGCTCCCTACCTTGCGGATCAACCAGGCCGGAAGTCACAACCCTCCCTCCATCAAAAAAGCCAGGAGACTCGGAAAAGCTCACCTGGACGTGGCCAGGTGAGCAGACCGAAGCCTCTGGTTCTAGCAGACCTCAGGTGTTCTCAGAGGCCAGCAAGATACTTGCTCCTCCTCCCAGAACACACACGTCCGGCTCTTTGTCCTGTTGAGTGGGGGTCACCGGGCGCTGATCCCACTGAGCTACCATCACAACACACAACAGTCCCAGGTGATGAGGGGCACTGATAATGCTGGGGATGTGAGCACAATGGCCCGTGGCTGCCTGTCCCCTGACTATGAACTAGGGACAACAGAGACCAAGACATGCTCTTGCCAACTGCAGGACCCAGGGAGGGCTGCTGCCACCCAATGGACACAGAATTCTGGATGCTTACAGCAAAGGGTGGACCAGACCCAGGAACAGGGCCGGGAGGGGCGTGAGACTCTGCAGCACCCGAGAGCTCACCCTCGGCTTTGCCCGACTCCCCGAGCAGATCTGCCCGAGCCTGGCCAGATGGGGGCCCGTGTGATTCGAATCATGTCCTTCCCTCCCTTGGCCTCCAGCTGAACCAGCTGGGTCACGGCTTGAAGGTTAGGAAGGCAGTGGGATTTCAGTCCATTTTCCTGCGACCGAGGCCATACCAAGTTGGAACCACAGGAAAGGAAGACTGCTGGAGGGACCATGAACAGGCCAAGCGGACACCTTCACTCTGCTGGAAGGGACAGGGTCCACCTTTTCCTCCAGGAGGTCTTCCTACCAGGGTGACCCTGGCAACATCAGAGCCCAACCAGCCAGGAGTTCCAGGAGGGGCTGGGAGAGGAGGAGGGAGCGGGGGAGAGGCTCAGAGGTGCCACACTGCCACCAGGTCAGGCTCGGGTCAGATTGGCAAGACAGGCTGTAAGGAGCAAGGACTCCGGAACAGAGAGAACCCTGAATTCTGGCTTCAGCCACCAGAGAGATAACTCACAACTGATATCTTGGAAGAAGTGTCCAGTGAAGCCAACATTGTCTTTTAGCTGTTTTTTTAACCCAGTGGCTTTCACCTGAGTGACACTCCTGAGGGTAGAATATATTGCCAATGGATCTGTCTGCTCAAGATCTCACTCCTTTTCTCACCTGGCATAGCCTTTACTGAGACCACCCACCAAGGGTTCTGAAGCAGAGCTGGGGTCTAGCTCCTGTGTGATGAAGCTCCCTGGTGGGAGCAGTGTTCCCACCAGGGCTCGGGAAGGTGCAGTGAGGCACAGGTGCCCACCACTGAGCTGTTACCACGTGGGGACCTGGCTCCCTCCCCCTCCTGCCACTCACTCATCCCAGTCCTGACACAGGCCTTCAGCAGCATCTGAAAAGTGGAGACTGTCCCAAGGTACTCACCCTACCCCTTGGAGCATYGGAGAGGGCAGGGGCCAAACAGAGGGGCTGGAGCTATCTAGAGAAGCCTGCTGGGATGTGCTACACAGGGCAGATTGAGGTCTCTAGAAGATGCCCAGGTTCTCCTGACAAAGCTCCTTCACCCACCCCTTTTCCTTCCTTCTTCTGACCCTTGAGGAGCTTATGCTGTCTGCTGCAACCAGAACCCAGTAGTCCCCCTATCATCCTGCCTCAACCTCAGCTCTGTGGTCTGTTCAAAATCCAAGCCCTGCAGCTGAGGGTGGGGTGGGGCTCTCCATCCCTGGAGGCAGAGCCTCCTTCCCACCCAACCAAGGCGCAGTCAGATCCAGAAGGACCTTGGTGGGCAAGAAGGACAGCAGAGCTGGGAAGACAGAGCCCAAAGAACAGGAAGTGCAGGCGGGCTCTGAGGGCCACTGGGGAACAGCTGTGCTGCCCTTCCACGTGAACCCAAAAGTGGCGTCTTTCTGCCTTCTGGTCAGGCTGGGCAGGGAGAGAAAGCCCAGTGCGCCATAACAGACTCTAGGTGCAGAGCACAGGCACCTCCTCCAGGACACAGACTTGCTGGGCCCCATTAGGTGGCCCTGTCTTCACCCACTCAGGCCAGTGGGCCAGCCTAAAGAGGCTAAAGCCAGTGCCAGACAGGAGCTCAGGACAGACCTGGGTGTCAAGGGGGCTCTAGCTACAGTCCAACAGGGTGTCTRGAAAATCTGCCTGGGGAAACTGGGAGAAGCCAGGATCCACCAGCCTGATGGGCAAGAGTCCTCTCTGCCTCGCCCCTGCCACTGTCCCTCCACCTGCCCAAATCCTTCCTCTGCCTCCCACATCAGTCCCCTTTCCCCAACCAGCCAGTCCTCGTCAGCCCTGTGCCCTATTGTTAACCCCTAGCATCCTAAGTGTTTGGTGTCTATCAGGAAGGAGGCTCCGAGGTCCACAGCAGGGCGAGGTCACTGCTGGGGAGCACAGCCAGCTCCAGGGACTGCAGAGAGACCCTCGTCGGGCAGAGGGACCAGCTGTGGAGGATGAGCAGACGCCAGGCTAGGGACAGAACCAGAGCAGCCTGCGGGTGGGGCTGGGGCCTGGGTGAAGCAGGGCCCTCCTGGAGAGAGTGGGGAGCTCTTGGAGACCCAAGGAAGCCACCTGAGGAAGAGAGAGCCCTGGGGAAGAGAGCACGGGAAAGAAGAGGATGGAAATCACCCAGGAAATCGCTCTGTGGCTCCAGGACAGTCGGGGAACATCAGGCACACTACGCGCATCCCCGGCTGCCCAGCTCCGCTCTGTCTGCGCCCATTGGCTCACTTTAGCTCTTCAGACGGGAGGGGTCCCACGTGGCTACGCACTGGAACCACCAGGGTATCTTTAAAGATCCTGGAGTCCAGGCCTGAGGCTGCTGAAATCACAGTTTGGGCCCAGGGCTCAGGGTCTGGGTTTGGGGTGATGCTGTGGGTGATTCTGGGAGGCAGCCAGAGCCAGCAGCCTCACTTTACGGGAAAGCCCTATTCAGCTTCCTCTGCACATGAAGCTCAAACCCATCCTAAATGTGACCTCACAGCACCACAAAGGCTGTGTCTTTGCAAAACCCTTCTCTCTCGAGCTTTTTGTGTTTTAAGATACAAATTAGCTTCTACTACAGGTGCATAAAGTGTGTTCTGTATGTGTTAAAGTCTTTCCTCATACAGCAATTCAAATACTCTGCCCAAAGAGGGCTTCCACTTCCCGTCAGACCACGGGCCCACCAGAGACGTCACTGGCACCGTCTCCTCTTTGATCCAAGGAAGGAGAGCAGGGCCCCCAGCCCTGCACACACAGCCTGGTTGGTGTTCACGGGGCAGAAGTCCTGCGTGTGACACGCAGCCTGGGGGCCTGGAACAGGAGAAGGCTGCTGGTGGGAAACAGTGAGGTCCATGGGCACCTGCAGTTGAGTGTCTTGTACCAGAGGGACTTTTTGAGTTTTGATAAATGGCCATGATGAAACCCCTAGCATTGGAAGAAGCTGGTGGAGGGAGCCCTGCACTTGCTTCGTGGCTTCTCTGTGCACCTGCAATCATACTAAAACAAAAAGCTACTGCAAACCCGTGCCACACGGGACATATGAGCCTGCCCTTTGCTGTAGCAAGGAGTGCAGCTCCAGAGAGATGGCCCAGCTCGAAATCCAGCACTGCTGCCTCTGAGAACGCAACCAAGTGCCTCACACCCCCTGCYCTCACCCTCATCTAGACGATGGGACTCCACCTCACAGAACTGCTGGGTTGTGGCCTTGATGTTCTACAGGGCAGCTGAAGGAAACCAAAGTAGATCCCCTTTGGCACATGGACAGTTTGAGCAGAAGGTCCTTAGAAACAGCACTTACAAAGGGCATGGTCTCTGAACTCCCGGGTCTGCCCACAGACACAGGCTCCAGGAGGTCTCCACTTCCTGGGTGACTTCTGGGGTGCTGTACCAACCAGGAAGACAACCAGAAACGGACACCATGCTGAGATGAACTTTCACAGACTGTCCAGCTCCCATCTGCACTTCAAGAGCCTGTTCATGGCTCCTAAAAGTCACCGACTCTCTCCCAAGGTACTGAAGCCATCTCCCCTCCCCTATGAGGCGATACTCCTTTGGGGTATTCGCTTACTTTCCTTGCAATGGCCCCATTCCGTAGCATAAAGACCAACCGACCAGTGTGCCTCCCCTGCCAGCCTGCCTGTGGGCAGTCACACACC